ATGATTTGATCAAATTTCTTGAGGAGTTGTGATCCAAACTTGATCAAATGGTTCATATGAGTCTAAAATGTTGTTGTGGATAAAAAATTATGAAGTTTGACTGTAAATTGGCCATGGTTGACTTTTTCCCCAATACAACTGTTTTTTAGGTCAACTGTCCAATTGACTAGGCAAAAATGTGATTCAAGGCTTGAAACTTAACATGGGAAATCTTGGGGGTCCAAGATGGTGTATGAAAGTCACATGAAGCATTGATGGTCCAAAAATCCTTGTGCAAACTCAAACCCTGATTTTGGGGTATCAGTGCAAGATGAGATGTCTTGAGTTGAGCAAACCCTAATCTTGTCTTGAGTCCAAGCAGTCTTGTGAGAAAAATCTTGATAAAATGTGAGGGTAAATTTTGGGGTGCAACACATTGCAAAGAAAATTTCAAAATACTTTCAAAACCCACACCACAAGCACATTCAAACAAAAGCAAGTGATCTAGCGAGTAACTAAGAGCCCATGGAAAACCATGGATGAAAAGGATGCTAACACCTTCCCTTTTTATAATCTACCCCCCGAACCCGAGAAGTAATCTCGAAAGGTCTTTCCTGTGCTTTTTTACCTTTCCTTATTGGATAAAAGAAAAGTCGGTGACGACTCTTGCTAAACCGCACAATTGTGATCAAACGCAAACGACCCGAATCAGTTCTCCCACTGTATCACAGGCCCCATGCTTGGGGGTTGTGACATCCTAAAAAATAAAAATGGTTTTTCCCAGATGATTTTTTCCTTAAGCATCTCGCTCCACTAAGCCTCATGCTTAGGGAACTGCGTACATATGGGAAATTAAAATGGTTGGATTGCCTAGGTGGCTTTCTCCTTAACCCTTTCACTCCATTGGGCCTGATGCTTGGGAGCTATGTACATCCCAATAATTACAATGGTCGGTTATCCATATGACTTTCTCCTTAAGCATCTCGCTCAGTTGGGCCTCATACTTAAAGGTTGTGTACATCCAAAAAAATTATGATGGTCAGATTATGACCATGACCAAGAATAAGATAGCCTAGTTACAAATATTTGGCAAGTCAAAGGCCACCTTAAGCAAGCTATCAACAGACAAGCATTTATAGATCATTATCATACGATACCAACACAATCAACATGCTCCTTGAATATAGTAAATGTCATTTATAAACCATATCAATTACCATGAATACTCATTATGGTGAGTAATAGCCTTTGTTAGTGATCAAGTCGTAACAAACAGATAAAAGGGAAATTATGACTCTTTTTGGTAAGACATTCTTTTGAGTTTATAACTTATAAGCTCATATGACAACTTATACATGTTTGATAACAATCTTTTCGTCACAAACTTATAGTTTATTTTACTAACTTATAGATTATTTTTCAGACATTATTTCAAATGGTATTTTAGCTTATAACTTATAGTTTATCATTTTTCTTCCTTTTTTATCCTTATTATTTTAACAGAAATTCACTTTTATCCTTTATAATTTATTTTAATTGAAAATTAAATAACCATGTATTAAATATCTTTTATGTCATTTTACATTTATAAATTAGTTTAACCACTAATTTTACCAAACACTTTAATTAGCTTATCAACTATCGATCTCAATCATCAACTATAAACTATCAGTGATCAACCATCATCTATAAACCTTAAGCTATAAACTATTTGAAATAATGGATAATTAGTTCTTAAATATTTATTTTCGAGAGTATAGTTTTTATTCTTTCCGTCTTATAATAGATGTCTTATTTCCTATTTTTATTTGCTTCAAGGTATTTATCCATTTAAAATATCAATGCGATATTTATTATTTATTTTTATTAATTTATTCTTATTTATTATATTTTAATTCATATAACTATTCTATTACTTATTATTAATAAAGTTATTTTAATAAATACGATGTATTTAATAATTGAAATTAACATAATTAATCATTATTATAAATTTGTGAATTTTTTTAAAGAAAAACAAAAACACCTATTGTTAAACAGAGGAAATACATTTGAAATAAACACCTCACATAATTTTTTTAAACTTGAATGAAGGTGAGATTCTCTACCTCAAAATCTAAAATACAATTTAAATTCTTCAAACAAATACCCGACGATTTAAAAGAACAATTATGACACGTTATTCTAAAATGAAACTTGAATAGTAAAACTAGTTTTATTGGTATTGAAAAATTAAAGGAAGAATATTAGACAGAAGGAAAGGAAAAAGAAAGCGTGAAAGTGAAAAGTGGAGTAGAAGCGGGACCACAATGGTCAAGAATCAAGACTCCATTTATGATAAGATAGTAAAGTTGTTAATTAATGTTTAGACCAAAAACTCAAACAAAACGCCACATCACGAGCCGTGTAGAGCATGGTGACGACGGAGGGAGGACCATTTTATTTTTTTCCCCTCGTTTAAGGAATCTTATCTCCGGTCACAGCCATAGTAATAGCTATTATTATTTCAATATTTTTCCGTTTGAATCAAAATTGGCGTCTCTTAAAATCTCAGTCAACGGTCAACACTCCGTATCATATATTCATATGTATGTACCTATTTCCTTCCTAAATTGAGGCTCATATTTTTCTCTATTAAATGCTTAATTAATTCTTCAATTCACTTATTTAATAAAAATTTAGTGATAGAAATAGTAATAAAAAATCTTTATAAAAATAGTAATAAAAATATTAAATATATCTTATAAATAAATGTTTGTGATCATTTATTCATTTAATATTTTTAAAGTAGTTATTTAAATCTCTAAATAGTTACAATGTTAATCTTTTAATTATATTCCTTAAAAAAAAAACATTGTGTCTTAATGAAAATTCTACATGTATATTTTCGTGTCATAAAATTATGATCCATTAAATTAGAATTCATATGAAAAAAATAGTTTACATTTATTCTTATTCCTGGATCAACAATTAAGATTAAGATAAAATTTATTATACAATATAGGACGTGTTTGTTTCATGGATACAAATTGTATTATCAGAAATGTGAGGTTACAAATCCTATATTTTTATGTTTGTTTTAAGTTTTCATAAATTATTTCGAAGAATTTTTTATTTTAAAAAATATTATTTATTCATGAAAGTTTAAATATTTATTTCTTGACAAAGGTTTGAGAATTTTATATTTTCATAAAAATAAAAAATAATCACCTATAACTATCTACTTCTATATTATTTTAACATATTTTTTTTTATATTTTAAAATTTTAAAATTATAAATAAAATTTAAAAATATTCTTAAGAACCTAATAATTTATCAAACAAATGAATAAGAATAAAATTTCACATTAATATTCTTATAAATGAGATTACTGATATTATAATTTTAATCTCTCAAACAAACACACTCATAATGTTGTTCACAATAGGGGATGAATCCAAAAAAAACAAAAAAAAACGAGTGAGAGTAAAATTATATTCCAATAATAATAATAATAATAATAATAATTTTTTATCAAAAAAAGAAAATAAAAAGATAAACATAAAATAATTTTACACGGTCGTCTAATGAACGATGTATATTCTATCACATCATATTGATAATTTAAAAAAATTTAAATAATTTAATAGATTCATAATTTTTTATTATAATTTTTTTACACTTATAATATATATATATCTATTAATCTCTTATCAAAAATAAAATTGTAACATTTTCTGCTCAATAATATTATCAATAATTATTTTCTATAAAAATGAAATTATGACATTTTCAAATCACTACATACAAACTATCCAAAAAAAAAAACTTACAAATTTGTTTTTAATTTGACAAAAGAATTTACAACTTATTATGTACCAGAAAAAACATTAATAGATCACATAATATAATTCACCTAAAAATATTATTTATATTTTAGTCTTAATTACTTTTAAAAATAAATTAGCAAGACATTGATTTGACATAAAATAAGATTCATATATTTTTTATGCATCAATTTTATATGATTCATAAAGTTAATCTCTTTATTTTAAATTTAAATAATTTTAATTATTTTTCATGTTTTAAAAAAAATTAACTTAATATTTATTTTTAATTTTTAATTTATTTATAAAATTTTACAATAAATTTATATGTTATAATTTACCGTGTTTTAACAAAAAAGTTACTATTTAAAATAAAAATAAAAAATAATTAAAATATTTAAATTTAAAATAAAGAGATCAAATTCATAAATATATAAAATAGAGATCAAAACTGTAAATCATCTTTTAATTATTTTAAGAATAAATTAAATGTAGTAAAAAGTAGTTCTATCTTTTTTTCTTCTTGATCTATAATTACTATCTATAATTACTAGAAATGATCAACCTAATTATTATTTTTTGGTTTAATCAGTTTAACAACACTAATAATCCAATTTTTAAATGTTAATTCAACTATTGCAATAGGAAAATACTTATTAATAATAAAAAATAAAATAAAAAAGACAAGAATATATTTCAACTATTCTTTATCATAATCCATAATCTTTATGAAAAAGAAAATTTAATTTAAAATAAATTAAAAATTATACACTAAATTAATAACACACATACATTTATTTGTTTCTTGTTTAAATTATTTCATACTAAATAATATTATACATTGTGATTTATCTCAGCCTTAGGTCACCAAGTTCGTTTCTTTGTTACTAGTACTCTTTCAACAAGTAAACAGTTAATTAGTATAAAAATTAGTGAGAAATTAGTATTTAATATATAACTAGGGTGTAATTACCTTGTTTCTTCCTATTTTCTAACTAAACCGAAACGCGTGGCTTAACACGCAAACGTTTATCGTTTCGTTCTTCACAGTTTCACACACGCTCCACTCTCTCTCTCTCTCTCTCTCTCTTTTTTCAAATCCCTTAAATTGACCTTTTCTCATTTCATCTTCACACACTTTCTCTCTCTTAGCGAGATCGAAGAATTTCGAAGAATCGAAGAAAATCAAAGAAGAAGAAGAAAACAAGAACGTGATGAATTCTGATACGCAACCCGAAACGGCGTCGTTCTGGTGTTACAGTTGCACCCGCTTCGTTAATCTCTCAGATCACAGTATCGTCGTTTGTCCACACTGCGAGAGCGGTTTCGTTGAAGAGATCCAAGCCGGCGAGTCGCCGCACCACCACCGACTTAGTCCGTTCACCGACGACGCGGTTTCTACCAGGAGACAAGGCTTTCGCCGCCGTAGACGCGACGCGGGAAGTCGGTCGCCGTTCAATCCTGTCATCGTGCTTCGCGGAGCCGGGGAAGATGGTGCTGATCAAGAAGGCGGTAGCGCGTTTGAACTGTTTTATGATGACGGTGATGGTTCTGGTCTTCGTCCTTTACCGCCGACGGTCTCGGAGTTTTTGCTTGGATCTGGATTTGATCGGTTGTTGGAGCAGTTTTCGCAGATCGAGATGAATGGATTTGGACGGCCGGAGAATCCGCCGGCGTCGAAGGCAGCTATTGAGTCTATGCCGACGGTTGAGATCTGTGAGGAACAGGTTGGTTGCGAATTGCACTGTGCGGTTTGTAAAGAAGAGTTTGAGTTAGGTGTGGAGGCGCGTGAGTTACCTTGCAAGCATATTTATCATTCCGATTGCATTCTTCCATGGCTGTCGGTGCGGAACTCGTGCCCGGTGTGCCGTCACGAGCTTCCTTCTGATCTTAATAACCCTTTAGAATCTAGGGTTTCTGGACAAATTGATGAAGAAGCGATTGGGTTAACAATATGGAGGTTACCCGGAGGTGGATTTGCTGTCGGGAGATTCTCCGGTGGACGGAGTGCAGGGGAGAGTCATTTTCCGGTTGTGTACACGGAGATGGATGGTGGGCTCAATGCAAACGGAGCACCGAGGAGAATTTCTCGAACGGTGAGAAGTCATAGGGTTAGGGAAAGTCGGGGAATCGGAAGAGCTTTTCGTAATTTCTTCTCATTCTTTGGGAGAATCGGTTCTAGGTCAAATTCTGGTTCTGAGAATGTTTCTATGAGTAGAAGCCGTAGCTTAGTGAATTCATTGTTCAATAGAAATTCGCGCAGACCTAGGAGAACTTTGGACTTGGAAGATTGATTATGTAATAGCAATTAACATGGCAATTTTGCAAAAAAAAAAACATTTTTTTCTCGTTTGGGTTAAGTGATTCTCAGATTCATATTGTAAATAGTTTGTAATTAGCAATTACAGAAGCATGTTTGATTTTCACATCTCTGTGGAAAGCTCTTTTGCTTTGATTGAAATTCACATTCAAAATCAATAGATGATGTGCTTTGCTTTGCTTTGCTTGTTGGTCACTGAAGGCTGCAATTCGAAAAATGATAGCTGTTGCAGGAGATTACTTTGGCTTATGCATTTTCTGGTTGGCACCAGCTGGTTGTGGCAGATGATTGGACGCAATTGGGGAAAGCAGAATGATGCTTTATTCTCACCCATGATCTTAGTTATTTGATTTGTTTGTTTATACAATAATAGTATCATGTTAGCCACATGCTATTTGTGAGAATTCTTTGAATAATCAATGTTTTTGAGATGCCTCTCTCAACTTGCACTATGAATATTTTGACTATGTGCTTATCATAAAATAGAATAGAATGATACACAAAATCACTTGATTTAACTTTTCTTATTTGTGGGTTCTCTTCTAATACAATTTGAATGAACAGCATGCTTTCAATATGATGTGTTCTTGTGCAGGATTTTCATCTTACTGCTTGAGTTAGCTGTTGTTTGCACTGATTTGTTCTTTGGGATCATGGTCATGCTTGTTTGAAAATAAAGTTTTTGCCCTTGGGCTGTATCCTCTGTTTCGTGGATTGCTAGTTATCTTTTTCTCCTTCTAGCATTTTGATCATGGACCTAGTTGTCAAGAGATAAAGGGGTCTTTTTTTAAGTTCACTTGTCAAGTTATCTCTATTCTTTTTAGCATTTTTGCTCTATCCCTGATATCGGATCAAGATTCTATTTTTTTCTTAGAAATTGAGAGCTTCTTTTATTAGAAAGAAAGGATATGTTAAGAACTTTGACATGTCTTATATTTAGTGGGATTTTCTTGGTTTAGTTGAGATTTTTTAATGAATGTGTTTTTTTTGTCCCTTAACCTTAAACTTGATTTCAGATTGGTCTCGAGTCCTCGGTGGCAATTGTATATAGGGGTGTTTGCGGTACGATTTGAACGGTTTTGAAATAAAAAAATCATCTGAACTGCAAGAGAAAAAAATATGTGGTTCGGTTTAGTTCGGTTCGGTTGACTTTTAAAAATAAATCTGAACCAAACTAAACTATGTGGTTTGGATTGGTTTGGTTGGTTCAGTTTTTTATAACAAAAACATTTAATTCATACATACACATATAGAAGAAAATATAATTTTGTGTTTAATTATTCATACATTACCATAATTTTTTTTGATAATTGTCAAAATAAGTTTATAATTTGATACATAAAATTGCATATTATAATTTTATCTAAATCTAAAGAATGATATAGATAAAATTGCGTTCGTAAATAAATATTATACAAAGATTACGATAAAATATATTTTGTGAAAATAGTATTTATAAATGAATAATATTTTATTTTTTATGATTTGTAAATTAAAATAAATATCATACAAAGTATGATAAAATATACATATAATACATGTTGATTTCTCTAAAGAATTAAAGAAATATATATTGGTTAGTAACATAATGCGGTTTTGTTTGACTTGGTTCAGTTTGCAAAATACAAACTGCAAACCGAACTGAATTGCGCGGTCCTGTTAGAAAATGACCCAAACACATCCGAACCAAATGTAATTTTTTGCAGTTTTGATTTGATTCGTTTCGGTTTTGCAATTTTCTATTGGGTCGGTTTAGTTTTGAACAACCCCTAATTATATAGCATTAAAATTCGGCCTTAGCTAGGATTCAAATCAAGGTTATTTTGGTTGTTACACAACATAGTTTATATGTTTATTATTAATTCACTTTGTCCCTTAATGATTTAATATACAAATATGAATTCAGAGTTAACTTCAACATCTTTATTCTTGGTAAAAACTAATGACCCTTTTAGCGTCCTTCTTCAAACCCTTTAAATATGTTGTGAGAAATATATACTCCAAAGCTCTCCACTAAAATTGTATATTTTAAGTGTGAAATGCTTTCGATCACCTACATGTGCACTAACTTTGCTAAAAGGCATGTTTGTAATTCCAAATTTCAGAGAGTTGGTTCATTGAAAGGATAGAAAATCTATGTAACAATGTGTGCGAATGTTCCACCAAATGCAGGCTTCACATGAACATAATGTCTTTAAGCACACAACAAGTATCTCTTCTCCCCTGTTCCACCAACAACTATTGCATAAAAAATTCCCTATCGAAACTCATGTCCCTAACATGTCGCGGTCACATTCCAAACCCAAAATAGAAACTCGGAAATTATAGATCCAGCATCAAGTAATGTGCAGTAAGGTTCACATTTATCAATTAAGTCAACATGAATGCAACACACATATCTTCCCGAAATTAAAACTGGCCACCGAAACCACAACGTTCTTCTTCTTCCTAATATAAACCCTAATATCGTTCTAATTTCCTAAACCAAACACGATTCCGAACATACATGTCTTTCTGAAACCAGAACCAGAACCGGCCACCGGGAAACCTCTCCACCGTAATCCCATTCTTTATATCCCGCAATTCTGAACAACAAGTGATGGTGATGATGAATTTGATTTTACCGGTTGATCAGAACCTGAAGTGGGCCGATAGATGACGTCGACAAGGCTGGAATCAAAGGAAAAAAGGGGGTGTACTTGCAAGGCACTCTGACGCTCAAGTAAGAAAGAGTGCAAAGAGATACAAGAAACAAATTAGGGTTTCTAGAATGAATATTGGATCCATGGCCCTCACAAATGTGAGGGTTTATATAATTCCCCCGACGCTTGGCCATTGGTCTCTATTTTTGGGCCTAGATATCATGTTCCTCAAAACTAGGTAACTCTCAGGAATTAGCCGTTATAATGAGCAGTGCAATGCCCGTAATTTAATTAATTATTTAATTAAATTATTTTTGGAATATTTGTGAAGTTGTGTTATGATAATAGTTGATGTGTTGTTGTTATTGGATTTATTTATTCTATTAAGTTGTGGAATAATATTAGAATGATAATATTATTTGATGTGAGATTGTTTTAAAGAATAAGAGTAGTAGTAAAAGGGGGTGTAGGAGTCTTAAGCCCATTAAGGAATAAAGAGAATTATAGGGTTATTATATTAGTTTTAGAAATAATAAGGAAAAAGAAGAAGCAGTAAGAAGAGAAGGAAATAAGGGTTGGAAGAAGAGAAAGAGAACTGAAAGTTGTAGAAAAGGAGGAAAAGAGGCAGAACGAAATTCAACCGAAAAAGTTATAGAACAACCTTCAATCCAAGGTAAGGGTGGGGTTCTGACTCTATAATAGGGTTTATGATGAGTGGTATGTGGGATTATATGTGAAAGATTATTTGGTTTACGATTGAATTGTATACATTGTTGTTTGATGAGAATCGATGATTCAAGGATGAATAATGATGCCCTAATGTTGTATAATTGATGTAGAAACATAGGATTATTATAATTGATGATTATTTATGATTAGAGGATGTTTTTAGGGCCTAAGGCATGGAAGCCGTAGTGAAAACGCCGAAAATATTCATGGCAGAACAGTATGTGTCGATACGAAGAAGCCATGCATCGATACATGCAGGCTTCTAGACTCAGGATGAGTCGATACATAGGACCATGTATCGATACATGCAGTGTTACAGACTCAGTATGAGTCGATACGAAGGGAGTACGCGTAGATACATGCAGCGTGTCAAGCTCAGTACGCGTCGACTCAAGATGTTATGCATCGACTAATGTAGTCTGATTTTTGACAGATTCGTTTTCCAAAGGCTATAACTTGAGTTTTTGGACTCCGGTTGAGGTGTCGTTCGAAGCGTTGGATAGCTAACGCGATGAAATTCTAAATCCTTCCTTCACTTGTCATGATAACTCTTTTGTCTACTCTGTGAAGCTTTCATCTTTTCTTGAATCAACTTCACCTTCTCAGTAGTCTCACGAACAAGTTCAGGTCCAAGTACTACACTTTCACCAGATTCACGCCAACATAACGGAGTTCTACATCTTCGACCATAAAACGCTTCAAAAGGGGCCATCCCAATACTAGAATGGTAACTGTTGTTATACGTGAACTCTATCAACGGAAGATAAGTATCCCACGAACCTCCCTGCTCGAGAACACATGCCCTCAACAAGTCTTCTAATGATTGAATTGTCCGTTCAGTCTGACCATTTGTATGAGGATGATACGCTGAACTCAACCTCAACTTAGAACCCAACGCTTCTTGCAAACTTTTCCAAAAATCAGAAGTAAATCTTGGATCTCTATCTGACACAATACACAAAGGAACACCATGCAGTTTCACAATCACACTAACATAAATCTCAAGCAACTTCGACACTGGAAAACTGATGTTAATAGGAATAAAATGAGCTGACTTCGTAAGCCTATCAACAATCACCCAAATCGAATCATGTCCTCTTGAAGTACTAGGCAACCCCGTCACAAAGTCCATTGAAATGCTATCCCATTTCCAGTCTGGAACTTCCAACGGTTGCATCAATCCTGCAGGCTTCTGATGTTTAACTTTCAACTTCTGACAAGTCAAACATGCATACACAAACCGAGCCACATCACTCTTCATCCCAGGCCACCAAAACAAACCTTTCAAATCTTGATACATCTTTGTATCTCCTTGATGAATACTCAACTTACTTCTATGACTCTCTTCAAGTATCACTTTCTTCATCTCAGCATCATCAGGAATACAAATCCGGTCATGAAACCTCAACACACCTTGCTCATCTAACTTGAAATCACTATTCTCAGATTGATCAGTCCCAACCATCGAATCTACCAGTTTCACATCCAACTTCTGAGCTTCTCTGATACTGTCTAAAAATTCATTATTAATCTTCAACATACCCAACATAACACTCTGCGGAGTAACCTCGCAAACTAAGCTCATATCTCTGAACTGCTCGAT